TGGTTTCAAGAAAACTTTTGAGTCAGTGAGTGATGCCCAAAGGCAGAGGGAGTCCAGGCAGGGGGTTACAGGTGCAGAGATTGAGGATGCTGGAGCAGGCAGGGCAATGTTTGGTTTTTTTGGGGTGTGCTGAGGCTTGTTCAATGGGGAAATCGATATTAGGGACTCTATTGCTGTTGCCCTGATCGCCGACCAATTATCCTCCTTCTCTAAAATTACCCCCATAGCCATCCTGGGGCTTGAAGGCAGCTCGCTCTTCTACTTTCTCTTCCCCTTCTTGGGACATGCTGCCTTGGCCATTTAGTCTGAGGTAGAAACTGAAACAGTGAAGTGTGAGGTCCTCCAGGGAGAATGTAGTAAAGCCCCTAGGCCATCCGAGCTCAGGACAGGGAAACCCAGATGTTGAGAATGGGAAGACCAACGTGTTGAGGACAGGGAGACCCAGATATTGAGCATGGGAAGATGCAGATGCTGAGAACAGGGAAACCCACATATTAAGGATAGGGACACCCATCAGTTTAAAGGTATTTCCATTCAATCTCCATCCCCGGTCCCTTTGGGCCAGGTTATACAGTTTAACATTGCAATGAACTCCTCCCCTTGCTCCTAGCCTGGCTAGCAACACGGGGTTCCTTCTATAGTAATTCCTATTACATGCAACTCAAATCCCAGGTTACAACAATTTAAAGGTATTTCCATTACAACCTCCACCCCTGGTCTGTTTGGACCAGACCATAGGGTTTAACATTGCAGTGAACTTGTCCCTCCTCCCCTTGCCCCTGCCCCAGCTTGGACTTATCCACAGACTGCAGTCCCTTAGGGGTGTACCTGCTCCAAGTGGAGCCATATCTATGAGCCACAGTCTCTTCAGGAGTATACTTCCTGCGACATAGACTTATCCACAGCCACAGTCTCTTTGAGGTGCACCTGTTCCAGTGTGGCCTTATCCATGGGCCACAATGCCTTCAGAGATATACCTGCTCCAGCGTGGCCTTACCCACAGCCACAGTGCCTTCAGGAGTGAACCTGCTCCAGCATGGTCTTACCCATGGCTGCAGTTCCTCCAGGGGTGTACCTGCTCTGTCATGGGCTTATCTATGGCCACATGCTTTGAGGTGCTCCAGCATGACCTCATGCACAGTCACTGATGCTTCAGGGTGTACCTGCTGCAGCATGGACTTGTCCACAGCCACAGATGCTTCGAGGTGTACCTTCTCCAGCGTCAACTTATCCTTGGGCCACAATCCCTTCAGAGGTATACCTGCTGTGGCACAGACTTAACCACAGCCACAGACGCTTCGAGGTGTACCTGCTCTGGCATGGACTCATCCACAGGTCACAGTCCCTTGACTCGAGTTCATCCTGGAGTTCCAGCCTGTCTAGTACAGCAGCATAGAAACAGCAGCAATGCCCTGGCCATCTGCCAGCCCCAGTGCATGCCCATTGCTGTTATCAAAATGTTCCCAGGCACAGCAGTAAGGTGATCAGCAGTACAGCAAGCAGGGAAAGTAAAAAGCAGCCACTAATGAGCACTGGACTCTAATATACAGTGAGGCAAGCAAGCCCTGTGGCAAGCACAGGAGCCTGTCAGTTAATAGCTAAACAGCAATAATAGCTATAAATTCAATCTAGCACATTCCAGTCAAATCTGTCGTTATCTTGAACCCTTTGAGCCCTGTGCTTGGTGCCAGAAAGGACTGTCATGGTTTAACCCCAGCTGACAACTAAGCACCACACAGCCGCTCACTCACTCCCCTCCAGTGGGAAGGGGGAGAGAATTGGAAGAGTAAAAGTGAGAAAACTCGTGGGTTGAGATAAAGAAAGTTTAATAGGTAAAGCAAAAGGCACGCATGTAAGCAAAGCAAAACAAGGAATTCATTCACTACTTCCCATCAGCAGGCAGGTGTTCAGCCATCTCCAGGAAAGCAGGGCTCCATCATGCATCACCGTTACTTGGGAAGACAAAACACCGTAACTGTGAACGTCCCTCCTTCCTCCTTCTTCCCCCAACTTTATATTGCTGTGCATGACGTCATATGGTATGGAATATCCCTTTGGTCATTTGGGGTCAGCTGTCCCAGCTGTGTCTCCTCTGAACTTCTTGTGCACCTCCAGCCTACTCACTGGTGGGGTGGTGCAAGGAGCAGAAAAGGCCTTGACTCTGTGTAAGCACTGCTCCGCAATAACAAAAACATCTCTGTATTACCAACACTGTTTCCAGCACAAATCCAAAACATAGCCCCATGCTAGCTACTATGAAGAAAATGAACTCTATCCCAGCCAAAACCAGCACACTCCATCTGCTGCCTCCTCCAGCAGCCCCTTGGCCATGATGATGGTGGAAAGGCAACCTGGTCACAGCCCTGTCCTTGCTGGCTCGAACTGGCTTTGCCCAGCAAGGTGGCCCTTGGCTTCATGCCATCAAAGTCTCTGGTGTCTCCAGCCATGATGGGGCTTGCTGGCCAGCTGTGACAGCGTTACTGCTGCCTGCCTTCCCTGTTTTTCCCCCACCATCAGGTGATGTTTAGCAGAGCTCAGCCACGGCCCTTTCTGCAAGGACAGGATTTCACAGCCTTGGTGATGCTTTCAAACTGAGATGGAAACCTTGCTCGGTGGCGAGGCTCCTGCTCGTATCCTCTGTGCCACTGAAGAGTAGCAGAGTCTCTGATTGAATTAGTGCAGGGATTTAATTTAATCCCCAAATGTGTCTCATTTTAAAGGAGCCTGTTCATTTCCTTCTAGGGCCTTATCTGATGCGGGCAACCATCAATATTAAGCAGGACTGGACAGATAGGAAGCTGTTGGGGAGGGAGAGGGCTTTGCGGGGAGTGAATTGAGGGCTGTGTGGATTTTTCCTCTAATTATTTCATGAAATAATGATGACAGTGATTGCAATACAAATAGGACATAAACAGCATCATTAAAACACACACTGGTGCAAATAGCATCCTTGCACGGTGAGTCTGGAAACATTCCCTTTTTACAAGAAATTACTGTGTGGGGAGCAAAACAGCCCCAGGGACGGGGTAAGTTGAGCATTCGCTTTGTGCCTCCCACCAAATCCAGCTGTTTTGGGGATGGGGCAGATGTCACACTCACCTCAGGTGAGGCTGAGGACATTAAGTCTTCAGACTTGCTGGGGAAGTTCAGGTGATGCTGAATTGCTGCCTGTGGCATGTCAGGCTGGAAGGGGACAGAGCGGGTCCTCTCCATGCTCATAGGTGTAAGGGGGACCCTTCTGGCGTGATTAAAAAGGACAAGGAACAGGCGGACATGGGGGAGCTCCTGTGTGTGCTGCCCAGGAGGCAGCTGGCTGCAGCATTGAGCTTAAGCATCTTTTTGGAAATCTGGCCTGCTTTTTGGACCTGTTAGCTCAGACGGGAGCCTGTGGATGCTGCCAGGTGCCATGTGGTCTCTGTGCCATCCCCTCTGCGCAGAGCAGATAGTGCCTAAGCTGGGGCTTAAACACCTCTAGTGTATTTCCTGGGGATGACAGCAGCTTTTGCAGCTTGATATCTGCATACAGCTCACTGGTGATATCCAATGGCAGGTTATAATCCACGTGCACCGGCTCTGCAGGGCAAGGAGGTGTTTAGCAGCAGGTTGTCTGTCCCAGGGGCTGGCTCGCAAGGGTCTGCTGTCATGAGCCAGGACCACCGTGGGGATACAGCCTCCGTCTGCTCCGTGGGTGCCTCTTTGCAATGGGATGTGAGGCTGGATGGGCTGATTCCTGGGGCCACTGCTCTTTTTGAAGCTGAAGTCAACCTAATTTATACAGGGGTGGTGACTTTGTTAGCTCCAGCTTTCTCGTTGCCATCAGGCTCATGAAAATGCTTGGTTCTTAATTGGGGATACACTGAAATTTTTTGCTGGGTGACTTGTTACCTGGGGCTGGTCCTGTACAATAACCAGTACCCCAGCCCTACAGGGTCTGCATAGGTGGGAAGTGCTTTCCAGGGGAGGATTTCTCTCTGCTTTTCTTTTTCTCCCCTGCTGAGATGTTTTTACCCCTCTGGCTCAGACAGGCTGTGTGCAAAGGGAAAATCACATGGAAGAGAGGACCCAGCTCTGGCAGCGGGGGCTCATCGCAGGATCCCCCTGCTTACTAGGAAACCTTGGAGTTTTTTTCCCTTGGGCGACCCCAGGCTTTTCCCTTTGAAAAGGCAGAGCTTGCGCAGGCCTTTCCTGACTGCAGAGGAAAGCTGGCAAAAACCAGCCCCGAAAGCTTAAAAAACCTGAAAGGCGCTGGTAGGAGCGGTTGTGGTTTTGCAGGGCCACGTCTGCGCAGGGCACGGCAGGGAGGCCGTGGGGAGCCTCACAGCTCAGGCACCAGTCAGGGAGGCTGAGCTGCTCATGGCCGTGGCTGGGCTGAGCTTGGGCAATCTGCAGATGAGCAGAGCCTGGCGCTTCCCTTCTGCATTTAATAATGCAGTGCAGGAGGGGCCGGAGCTGCCGGACAAGAGCTGCTGGTTTTCTCTGCCACCCTGCTGACCTCGGGGAAGACCTCTGCAAGGCTGAGTGCCCCCAGCAGCTCCCAGGGGGACGGGGGAGCCATCGGGGTAAGGATGATGTTACTGGCTCTGCCTCTGCAGCCAGAGCGGAGCCTGTCTGCGCTGGCAGTGCTGCCAGGCTGAGCCACCTGCCACCAGCCCAGCTGGTTTGCTCCAAACATGCTGGTGCTGCTGGGTGCTGAAGGTGGGAGCTGGGTGGCCCCATCCCACTCCTGCCCCATAGCCACCAGTTCACTGCTGGTGGGGGAAACCGATGCTTCAGGGATCAGGACCAGGACTGGGTGCTGTGGGAGTGACGGGTGACCTGCCACCACCTGGGGACCTGGGGACAATGCTGTCCCACCCCACTGGAGCAACGTTAGGGCTGTACAGATTGGTGCCAGCCTTGTGGTTGGGGTGTTAGGAGCAGAGAGGCTCCCCAGAAAGGTGGCTAGTGAGAGATTTGGGGTGCTTCTGCCTTCATCCTTCTTTATTTTCTCTTCTGGGCAGATGCTGGAGACGGACACTGAGAAGCCGGGGCAGATGCACTCAGAGGACGGGAAGGTGGCAGCAGGTGATGCTCCTCCAGCTGCAGAAGCACCAGCTCCTGCTCAGCCCTGGGAGGCTCTGGGAGCCACCCAGGGTCCTCTCCTGGGGGAAAAGCAGCCAGTTGCCACGAAGAAGGGAGAGGAGCAGCCCAGCTCCCTGCCAGCCTTCATCATCCCTGAGCTGCGGCTTGACAGCACCTTCAGCCAGAGCGCAGCAGGCATGGCGGGCAGCACCACGGATGGCGAGGATGAGGAGGAGGATGAGGAAGAGGAAGACGAGGATGAGGAGGATGAGGAGGAGGACAGCGATGAGCACTACTTGGAGAGGAATGAGGCGAAGCGCAGCAGCATGATTGAGACGTCGGGTTGTCAGCCTGTCTACACACTGAGTGTGCAGAGCTCCCTGCGGCGCCGGACCCACAGCGAGGGCAGCCTGCTGCAGGAGGCCAAGAGCCACTGCTTCACCTCTGACACCACCCTCAACTGCTCGGACAGCCAGGGCACCAAGGGCCACTGGGCCCTGCCCTCCCCCAGGACCCTCAAGAAAGAGCTTGCCAAAAACGGTGGCTCCATCCACCAGCTCACCCTGCTGTTTTCGGGCCACAGGAAGGTACGTGAGCTGGTGCTGGCTCTGCAGGGTGGCTGGCTCCTGCTTAGCCATGGGGATGGGGGAGCTGCTGGGGTGGCGGTGTCCCAGCGTGTGGCCCCTCTCTCAATGGCCACAGCAAAGCTGGCATCTGAGGGGCCAGGAAGGTCCCTGCCACTGGTAGTCAGCTCTGGGAGATGCTTAGCACCCAGGGGATGTCACCCAGAGCCAATGTGCTGGTGCTGTGGGTGGGCATCTCCCACCAATATGTCCAGATCCTACAGGATCCAATGTCCTGGAGAGCCACGGTCCGCTGAGACCAGTGGAGGGAGAGGTGCAGCTGGGTGTCTGCACCTGCAAAGAGCTGCTCGCAGTGGTGGGGACAGGGAAAAACCAGGCTCCAGAGAGCCTCCGGTGATGAGTCCCTGGTGTACTCGGGGGTGCCAGGAGCAGTGTGGCTTTCTGCCCCAGCCAGCCTCTTGCAGGGCTTTGACTGTTGTGGAGGGCCTATCTCAGAAAAATGTTGAGGTCAGCAGCGATTTCTGACCCTGACATGCAGAAAGGAGGAGCAGTGGAGGACCGTGGAGCAGGAGCTCTGCATGGGGCTGGCCTGTGCTCATGGGGCCAGGTGTCTGGGGTGCTCCTCATGCCTTCCTGGAGCAGAACTTGCCTTGGCTGTACTTTTGCATAACAAATATTTACAGGAAACAATGTGCCATTGCAGAGATTGTGTGTGAGAAGTGCTGCTTGCCCCATTCTCCCTGGGTGAAGCCTGGCTGGGCGCTGAGAGCGGCTGCTTGCCTTCCTGTGGCGCTGGCCCAGCACCCTGCTCTGCCCAACCATGCTCATGCCAGCTTGATCTCTGCCAGCAGCTGAGGATACTGCTCTGTTCAGGGCTGCATTGCATGGCTCAGGACCACATTGCGTTGCTTGGGGTCATGTTGCACAGTTCAGGACCTCATTGCATGGCTCAAGATCACATTGCATGGCTCCGGACCATGTCACGCTGCTTGGGACCACCTTGCAGTGCTCAGGACCACATTGCCTGCTGTTCCACAGCAGCTGGCTCCTGGGCAGGAGAGGCTGGTACAGAGCACTGCATGCCACCAAGCACAGCTGGATGATGGGGTTAATCCTCTTCCTGCCAGGCTCATGCTGCTTGAAAAGCTACCCTCTGATGCTGTTTCCTGGAGCACTGTTTGGGCTCAGAGTCCCTGGCCAGCTGGTGAGAGCCCTTACAACTCTGACAGGCCGGTCAGATGTGCAAAAGGGTAGCCCAAACCCTCTTGGAGGCTTATGCCGGCAATTGTGGGCTGGGGGGTTCAGAGCCCCTCCCAGATCCTATGAAGAAGGGTAACCTTTGTGGCAGGGACACCCGCACTGCCCAGCACAGATGCAAGGGAGGTGGTGTCAGTGCCTGGTGAGAGTGTCCCATTAGGACTGCCAGTGACGAGACTCCTAGAAAGAGGTTTCACAGTGCCGCTGTGCGTGCAGCCTAGGAGCACGCAGCTCTGCAGCCAGAGGCTGCTGCAGTGCTGGCTGAGACCGTGTGGGCTGCATGCTCACTGCTGGGGGGAAACCGGGGGAATGTATCCCGCTTCTGCCCTGGAGAGACCCCAGCTGTGCTTTCTGGGCTGATCTGGGTGGATGTTTTTCAGCGGGGACAAACTGAGCTCCTCCTGGATTAAACTGCTCTGGTGCAGATGAGAATGGGTGTTTTTGGAGCAGGGACTGGGGCAGCCTGTGCTGGTTGTGGGGGCAGCGTGGCTGCTCAACTCCTCCTGCTCCCACTTCCAGCCCTACAGCAGCTCTGTCTGGCTCTGTATGGCCGGTGCCTTAACCCCCTGCCAGCGTGCCCTCCTGGGGCACTCCCTGCCCGCTCCCATTGCCGTGCCTCTCCAGCTGCCTGTGGAGGGGCCAAGGCTGCCTGGGTGCCACAGCAGGCAAGGGAACTGGGCACGGTCCTGGGCCACCGCATGCACGAAGTTTCGGGCTACTGCCATCCCCCTGCCTACACTTTTGTCAGGCTGTGCCTTTTGACTAGTTTGATGAAACCCTCCGAGGTTTCTGGAGCAGCACACTGATGTGCAATTCCCCTATGGATCCCCTCCAGTGGCAGCACCAAGCTGCCAAGCACCGGTGATATCTGCACCCAGTGGCCTCTGCAGCAGTTCCAGAGCATCCATCAAGGTGCTGTTTTTTCATTCCCTCTCTGCGAGCATTTCAGAGGGGCTCATTTTGTCGCCCCTTTTAATGCCGTCATGCCCAGTGTGCCTCCCCGCTCCCCTCCTTCCCGTGGTGGGACCTGGGAGGTGGTTGTTTTAAGAGCATATTGTGGCCGGGAGCGCTGGGACTCCTCAGGCGAGCTCAGCTGCTGCCTTTTGTCCCCGAGTGCAGTGGAGCCTCTCTGGACAATGGCAGGAAATGTGCTCGGGCTGCACGTCGCCCCGGCCAGCCTGCCTGCCAGGGCCCTATCTGGTTGGGGAAGGTGCTTTGCAAGGGCTGCATTGTTTGGGGCTGATAAACTCCGGAAACCCAGGCGCAGAATGGAAGGAAGTGTCAAAAGCCTCAAGCCTGGGGCTGTGGGGTTGCGCAGAGGGTTCCCACGGCATGGCCGCGGGGCGGCGATCCTGGAAAATGCCCTGCAGCCCCCAGCAGCGCGGGGCTGAGCTTGGTTGCGGGGTCGAACTGGCTGTGAGCATCTTCCAGTCTTGCTCAGTAATGGATGAATTACTAAAGCTCCTGAGCTATGGTGGTCCCAGAGGTTCCCATGCCTGGCCCCAGGCTTCATGGCCCAGAGGCTGTGCTGGTGCTGCTGGTGCTCATGGTGCCTCCAAGGTCCCCTTGGTTTGCCCAGGCCACCCCAGCGTGGTGGTCAGGGAGTGGAGCTCTCTGGGTGCTCCTCGGACTTGAAAGCAGCCATGATATGATTCAGTTATAGCTGGACTGCTCTGATTTTTCCCACCTGGGGACTGCTGGAGGACCCCTGATTGATTTTGGGTACCCAGCCTGGGTCTGGGGGTACCAGGTGCTCTGCAGGCTGGGGAGGGGTGCCAGTGCCCAAAGGAGCATCAGGAATGGGGATGTGCGTGTCCTCTCTGTAGGAGGTACCACTGTCAGCATCTTGAACCTGGAGGGGTACCTGGGCCACCAGCTGTGGCATCTCCTTAGACGCTCCAGGAACACCATGGACTGAAAGTGGCATAGGATGGGTGGGGGGAGGCAGGTTCGCATGCCAGAGCAGAGGGGAGGTTGTCCCATTGCACTGCCACAGCCAGCCATAGTTGTGGGGAAGGAGCCCTGTGGATGCCATGGCTCTGGGTTGTGTGGGTGAGGAGACCACAGGTGATGCTGGCAATGCTAGTTGGTGACACTTGGAGTGCCACTGTGGGCATGCACTGGCATGATGATGCAGACACTGTTTTGCCGTTTCCCCCCAGCTAAGCGGAGCCAACCCCGAATGCAGCTGTGATGAAGGAGATGAGACCTCCCACAAGAAACGGAGCAGGAACCTGTAAGTGTCACATCGTGGTGGCGTGAGAATGTACCAGGGCTGTTTGCCATGGTCAGACACCTCATCTGAGCCCTGTTGGTCCAGGCAACCCTCAGGGTCCCCTTGTCTCATTCCTCCAAGCTTTTCCAGGAAGAAAGCAGCAGACACACATGAACTAAGGTCTTACTTCAGATAGGGAGTTGTGATTTTCAGGGAGGAGGGTGGGAAGTGTGCTGGGGGCATTGCACAGCCCGGCTGGCAGCAGCACCCTATTCACCTTGCTTTGACAGACAGGGCAAAGGAGCTGGCTCTTGCCGGCGCTGTGGGGAAGACAGCTTCCCCAGTGCTGGCAGAGCTCTGCTCTGGCAGTGCCGGGTTCAGGGAGAGGACATGCAAGTGGTGAAACATGAGCTGGGGGCCTCCTTCCCGCTGGCCCCGTGCCGGGAGGAGGAATGAGGAGGTTTCCCACCGCAGGACAGGCTCCAGCCCTTGCAGCACATCGCAGTGCGTGGGCAGCGTGGCGGGAGCACCAAGCGTGGGGGCCACCAAGGGATGCTCGCTGCCCCTCTGCCTCTCCCGGTAAGGCTTTGGGGGTGCCAAAAAGTGGGTTTGGGCAAGGACAAGGCAGCATGGCCTTTGCTTCTCACGAGTGCAGCTGCGGCTGGCTGGGGGCAGGCTCACTGGCAGGGCCGAGCAAGGATGCTTTGGAATGAACTGCCTCTGGTTTTGCAATGCAGGATCCGGGTGTCACAGCTGCAGAGATGCCCAGGGCTGGTTCTTTCCCTGCTCCACGTGGCTCGGGGCAGGTGTAGAAGTCACACATGGTTTGAGCGGTGCAGGGGGTGTGAGGGGGCCAAGCATGCCGGCTGTGAACGCAGCCTTGACGACTTTGCCTCTCGTGTTGCCTGCCAGTGAGCGGCACTGTTGTCCCACACGCTTCCTAACTGCAGCTGGCTATTTTTAGCTCTTTTCATTATTTCCCCCCCAACACTTGAAATTAAAATAAATCCCTCGCAGTCTGCAGCAGGGACGTCCCCGCATCTGTGTGTCCCTGCTGCGGCACTGAGCTGGGGGAATCAGGCTGGCGGGGGGAGGCTCAGCCGCCCCCAGCTTAGCGGGGTCAGGGGCGGTTGCAGAGAGGGTTTTCTCCTCACCTTGAGACAGCAGCAGATGCGCTGGAGAGCCTCTCGGCATCTCACTGGCTGGCTATTGGCTGCGTAGCGTGGTTGCTAGCCGTCCATGGGGAGGATTTATGGTGCAAGTGGCTGGGGTTTGGCACTTGCCTCCCCTCCCGGCACCGGCACGCTCTGCTGGCCCTGTTCGCTTGCTGGCACTCCCTGATGTACCAAGCGATGGTGGACTTTTCTGAAAAATACCTGGAAAGGTAGGACTTGAGCTTCCTGTGGGGAAAGGTGATGTGCTTCGCAGGGGATGGTTTGGAAGTGGCGCAGAGTGATGGGACTGGATGTGGCCTCGTGGCCCTGCCAGGGCACCAGGTGCAGATACTTTATAGGGGTGACTCCAGACAGAAACTAGCACTTTCTTACGATACATTATTTTTGCCACACCATTTTATACCACAGATCAGCCGCAGCTGAGGGCTGTGTATGCCCGTGGCTGCCGCAGACTGGTTTTGTGCCACTTGCTATTTGTTTACAAGCATGTGCAAGAGGATCAGCAGATTTTAAGTTGGGGAACTTCCTTAGGTGGTGTTTGCTGGTGTACTACAGCCGGCAAATCTGCCCACAAGCTGCAATCACCTGCGAGCCCCAGAGCCTGGAGTGTGGCAGAGCTACCCGCTGCAGCTGGCTGGCATTGTGCAGCGGGCTGTGCGGGTGGAGGCAGCCCACGTGTGTTGGGGACACACACAAGGGCTTTTCAGAACTTTGAAAGACACTGGGCACCGAGCTGTGGTGGCTGCCTTGCTAAACTGGGAACACTGCTAAAATTGTTTCTCAGGGCTGCGTGGGATGGCCCGTCCTGTGTGGCAGGCTGGTCCTCGGCTGCCAGCATTGCTGGCAGTGTGGTAACAGGAGGCAGATGGTGTTTGGAACGTGAGGCTCCATGTTTGGAGCCACTTTTCCCATGTTAGCGCTGAGCCGGTGCCTGGCACCTGGCAGCAGCGGGACGCATGTTCTGCTGGGACCACAGCCCAGACGATGCAAAGGCACTGAAACCACCCATGCCCTCCACGAGGGCACAGACAACATGGGGACTGGGGGGAGTGATTGCCCTCTAAAATCCTTTTCTGGTTCAGGGTACTCACCACCTTGCAAGACTGAGCCCTGGGGTTGTTGCAGCTATTTTTTCCCAGTGGATTGCTGTATTTTACCCTCCTGGGACTGGAAAGAGCTGTGGGTCCAGATAGCATCACTCGGGGTGGGGTACACCCTTGCCCTGCGTGCCTCCTATGCTCCTTGTGTCCCCAGCCAGGGCATGGCTTGGACAGGCAGGGGGGGCTCCTCCAAACATTCTCATGTAGACCCACTGGTGTGGGACCCATGGGAGGTTGCAGGTGGGGGCCTGGCCATGCCACCCTGGGGCTCCATCCACCCTGGTACCACTGCCAGCCTCGGTGCAGGATGAGCATCCCATGCCACCCTGCGTGTCCCCTGCACCCCTTCGTGCTCTGGTGTCATGCAGGGGCTATGCCACGAGGGGACAGCATCGTCCACGCCTGTCCTCACCCATCAGCTCTTCCACCTCCTGCTCCCCTGCCTTGGCCCCTGGGAAGCCCTCGCAGGGCCAGGCTGGGGCTGGGCTGAGGATCCCACTTTCCCGTGGCACTTGCCAAAAATCTTTGTCCCGCTTTGTCCTGGTGGCAGTTTCCTGGGGGAACCGGGAGCCCTGTGTCCAGGTGCACGTCAGTCTGTCTGTCCAGGGGTGGCAGAGCAGGGACCTGTACAGGGTGGCAGTGCCAGGGAGCCACAGTGTCTGTACCCCAGCACCCTTCCGCACCGCACACTGCCTGTCCCAACCACCCCTTTTTGGAGACGTCCCCACGGCTGTGCCCATCCCGGGCTGGCACCAGAGAAGTGTGAGGACCAGCAGGTCATGCATTGGCTCCCAGCCCCATCCCCGCAGGGGGGACATGGTGAAGTGCTGCTGTCCCGCTCTGCTCCTAGCCCCACTCAACCCTGCCGCCGGCCCTGCTGCCTTCCCCGGGATGCCTGCACTCTATAAATAGTCCTCGTAAATCCCTGCCATGATTATTTTCCCCACCGTCTCTTGAAAGGCCCCACTATTTGCCCTCGGCGCTGATTTTTCCACCTTTCCTTGAGTTTCCTCAGCAACGGTGGAGCCGTCCGAAATAGCAGCAGGGCTGACACAGCCCTTACTCACGCACGCCTCATTCACCCCACACCACATTTAAAGCTCCTCCAGGCTGAGCCCTCCCACTTCCGTGCTGGCTGCACCGGGCGGGAGCGTGGCACAGAGCCGGCGTCAGAGCACCCGAGCGTCTGGCTGCGCCGGTCGCGCTGGGAGCCTCTGCAAGGGCCGTCCCAGCAGTCATGCCCTTTTTCCGCGACCTTTCCAAGCCCCAGCCGCTGGAGTTTCCCGCGGAGATGCTGCCGGGCGTGCAGAGACCCCACAATGCCAGCCTGCAGCGCCGGCACACCATGAAGGAGTAGGTGGTGGGCGCAGGGCAGTGGGCGATGCTCGGGACAAGGCTGCCGCGGGTCCCCCGGGTGCTGGATGTCCCCCCAACCCCTTGCCTGCCTGCTAAAACTTGCTTTTTCCTCTAGAGCCAAGGACATGAAGAACCGTCTGGGGATTTTTCGGCGGCGAAACGAGTCCCCAGGGGCCAACCCCTCTGGCAAGCTGGACAAAGTGCTCAAATCACTCAAGTAGGTGCCGTGAGTGGGTGGCATGGGGACTGGGGGCCATGGGGGCTTGGGGATGAGCCGTGCTGGGCTGAACATCACCTCTAGGGAGGCTGGGATCGCCCTGTTTGGGGAAGCTGTGGACAAACAGTTTTCATATCCACAGGAGCGTTGAAAACATTTCTTAGCTGAAAATTCCCCCCCAGGCGTGTGGGAGGTCCGTGCCCGGGAGGCGGCACAGTGGCGGCTCAGGCTGGAAATTTCCCTGACGGCTGCTTTCTCCCAGTGCCTGTATGTGAAACTTTAACTGGCCGGAGGATGGTTTGAAAAACCACTTTGCTCTGGACATGCTCCAGCAGCTGGAGATGAGCCCTCCCTGCTCTTGCACCCAGCTGCTTATCCAGCTGCTTGAATGAGGTGGCTGAAATCCCTGCCGTCTCACAGCCTCCTCGGCATTGCCTGGAGCTTTTCCAATTTTTGCTCAGACACCCCAAGCAGCACAGCTGCCTGCACAGCCCTTTTTATATCAGAATTTCTTCCTGCCAGTCTGAAGGCAGAGGTTTCCTTCCAGCAGAGCCACCACAGCGCTGCCTGGTGCAAAGCCTGGCTCTGCCCGCAGATGCTCCAGCAGTGCTGGTGCTGATGGGGGAGCCAGAGCCAGCCCCGCTGGGACACACGGCATTGCTTTATCGACTGGAAACGTTTTGCTCGTGCTGCATCGTGGCAGGCAGCGAATGTGGTTTTCGCAGCTTCACTTGGCCAATGCGCTGTCCTTCTTCTTCAGGCCCACTCCTGAGGAAGCTCTCAAGTGGGGGGACTCCCTGGAGAAGCTGCTGCTGCACAAATGTAAGTGTTTGCCCGTCTCTTCTGCCTCTGCTGCCAGGGGAATATCCAGACATGTGCATGGATAAAGCTGGGATTTCCTATGTTAATCCCTTTTGGTGTTTGGGGGTAGACGAAGAGAAATAAGGCTGCCCCTTGCCTGCACCCCTTCTGCTCCTGCCTGGCCCAGGGTGGGATTTTGTGACAGGGGCTGGGGAGAGCCATGATGTTGGGCTGCAGCCCCCCTCCAGCGTGGGGAGGAAGAGGTAGAGATTCGTGTCTGTGCCCGATTCGGAGCTGTGCAGTGGGTCCATGAAGTAGGAGGTGCTTTAGATCATTCCCTTTCTCATGTATCACAGCTAGGGCACCCCACATAGTGGTCACATCCTACACCTGGCCCCCATAGGGACGGCCAGGCTGCCCCTGCTCCAATCCCAGCCTCCCTCTCTTGGCTCTCTGTGCATGCAGCCGGGCTGAGGACTGTGGATTCATCACATGAATGGCTTGCATTGCCATGTTGCGGCTGGCACTGCCATCGCTGCCTGCTTTGCACAAGGGCTCACGAGGGGTTCTTAGGGGACAGTGTGGGGAGGTAGTTTAGGTTGCACCTTTGCGAGGTTGCTGGGCTGAGGGTCTCACGGGGCTGTTCCCGGCCTGTGAGCAGGGAATAGAGACATGTGTCTGTCCCCACAGATGGGCTCGCTGCCTTCAGGGCCTTCCTGCGCACTGAGTTCAGTGAGGAGAACCTGGAGTTCTGGCTGGCCTGCGAGGAGTTCAAGAAGATCAAATCCCAGTCCAAGATGGTCTCCAAGGCCAAGAAGATCTTTGCTGAGTACATTGCGATCCAGTCCTGCAAGGAGGTGAGGGCTCTCTCCCATGCCAGTGTGTGGCTCCGCAGCATGGCAGCTGCCCATGGGGCTGCTCACTGGTGCTGGTCTCTCTGCCCACAGGTCAACCTGGACTCCTACACGCGGGAGCATACCAAGGAGAACCTGCAGAACATCACCCGCAGCTGCTTCGACCTCGCACAGAAGAGGATTTATGGTCTCATGGAGAAGGACTCCTACCCCCGCTTCCTCCGTTCTGACTTGTACTTAGACATAATTAACCAGAAGAAAGCCAGCTCCCCACTGTAGACCCAAGGACTCTCTCGGGGCAGGCTGGGAGCTGTGTGTTTACATGAAATAGGGCAGCGGAGGCCTTCCTGGGGGACAGCGGGAACATGCCTTCCCGCTGCCGTTCATGCCCCCAAGCCATATTCCTGCAGCGGACAGGTGTGGGGCAGCTGAAGGCACCGAGCATGAGGCCGAGGGGACCAACAAGCCAAGCAGTCTGGTACTGCTCCATCGCCCCATCTCACCATCGCTGGTACGACGCCTTCGGGGTGACTCTGGCATGGATTTTAGCCAGGAGGGAAGCTCCCACAAGACTACTGTGAAGCACGCGCCTGAGCTGCGAGTGTTGCTGGAAGGCGATGAGTGATCCCCTTCAAGGAGGAGGAGGACTTTTGTGCAGGGCTCCGGCAAGGGGACAACAGCACCGACGCAAACATCTTCCCTGGATAAAAGACTTCTGAACTGGACCAGCCCCACGATGCTGCTGTGCTTCCCTGTGCTGGCGATGCCCCCTGGCTCTCCTGAAGCAGCTATCTCGCAGGAGCCCGGTGCTTCCTTCCACTTGTGGCGGGTCCCCCCAGGAGCAGCGAAAGCCAGGTCTTTCCCCTGTGCTGGAGGTGTGCAAGCCAACTGCCTCCCACTCCCACCCCTGGTTTATTTATTGACCTCCTATAGCTGGATGCGTTGCTGTGTAATAGGAAATCCTCATGTCCTTTCCCGTTCTGAAATTACAAGTGCAATATTTGTGTGTGTCGCGGCAGAGTTCTCCGGTGGAGTGGATGCCTTTTTTTCTGAGTGCGTACAACATTTTCTACGTTAGCAGGTTTTATCTAACAAAACGCATTCCCTAGCAGCAGGCCGCTGGGGGAGCCTGGGTGTATATATCATGCCCTGACGACGGAGGGTTTGGTGATGGAGAGAAGCAGCTCTGTGAATCAGACGCTCTCCTTACTCTGGATAACAATATTGTGTTTTGAGAAGTGGGGGTTATTGCTGAACCTGGCAGAGCTGGATAGACTGCGGGCCTCCAGGCGCCCAGTTTACAGTGCGAAGCATCTCTGCAGCTAGCAAAAATACATTGTCACAGTCATAGGTAAATAAAAGGAGAATATAATTTCTTGTAGCTGCCTTTTCTTCGTGGCATGTTTCTCAGCGCTGGCGGAGCCAGGCATCCCCTGCTTCACCGAGGAATGTAAAATCCTGTTACTGCATGGGATGGGAAAAGATGGGAAAATGTGGTTGCATGAATTACTGAGCTGTTTTTTATGACGGAGCAGCTGCCAGATGCTCCTGAGATCAGGCTCGGGTGTAGCCCTGCAGGAACACAGAAAGTTTTGCCCAAAATGAGACTGTTCCCAGGGATAGCGTTCACTGTTTAAACATGGCAGGGCATGAACCTCTGAACGTGGAAATGCCCAGAAACATAAGTGACCTAGTGTAGCTCTGGGTCCCACTGTGGACACACCAAAAGAAGCAACAAAAAGCCCAACAGTGCTATTTCAGGTCCTGGCTGCACAGCTTGGCAAAGCTGCTCCTCCCCCGGCAAAGGCATCGCTTTGACATCTCTGGTGTGCAATGAAAGCATTTTGTAAAGACCATTCACGGTGCGTTCGGTAGTTGAAATGTTTCGTGCCCATCACCTGCTTGTGGTTGGCCTTGGATGGCTCAGAGATGTGCTTATGGTGTCACGGGGCCATGCTATGCCGTGGGGTGGCATGGCACAGAGGTGCTGCTGGTGATACCTGGGGATGGAGGTGGTGTGGCTGACCCACCTGGGCACAGCTCTCCCCACCAGATATGATCTCTTCTGGGGAATTGTCTGTGTTTCCCTCCTTAAACAACCAGCAGGTGACGGCCAGGTGGGGAAACTGAGGCAGAGCTAAGGGGATCCCTAGGGGTGAGCTGGAGGCAGCAGGGTTGGTGGGACACCTGCGTGGCTCTCCTGGGGATGCTTTCGGCACCCCAGGGTTGAGGCCTATGGGCCAGTGTCCCAGCTGTGACCCTGTCACCAACCCTGGAGCTGCTGGGACCTGGCAGGTCAGTGCAGCCTCCCTGCAAGTGCTGCCACAGTCACCCCAGCTGGATCCTCCAAACCAGACCCTCCTCTTTCTCCCAGTGTTGCTGAGAACCTTTATCTCCTCTCCTTCCCGGCTGGGAGGGTTTCCCTTCATATCTGGCCTTGACACAAATTTACTTGCCCTTCCCCCCCAGTCCATCACTCACATGCTCTTGATCTCCCCTCACCCAGTCCCAAGCCATCAGCATTAGGAAACCATTACTGCAGGGTGACTTCACTGGCCCGCCACTTCCTCGTGTCCCTGGGCCCCCTGGGGCAGCATGCAGAGGGACTTGGCTCAGGGGGCTCTGTGGTACCAGGCAGCTCAGTACCTGCTGTTACCTTCTCTCTGCCCTGAAAGTCAGGACAGCGAGCCCTCCTGTGGCTGTTGGTGATGCCCAGGAGCATCCAACGCACATAACCACACCTGGTTTAGAGCGTATAACCTGCCTTGCTTATGTGAATTATCCAAGCCCATCTGGCAGGGCAGGCAGCAAGGGCTGGAGCTGCTGTGGGGCATGCAGTGCAGCAATCTGGTGCACGACCTTGAATAAACACCACTGACGTGCCTGCAGACAGCCCCTGCAGGGGACAGAGGCACCAGTACGTGCAAAAGGCAGAGAGATGGGGACTTGGGGTGACTCCCTGGAGAAAACGGAAATAGCCCTGCATGAGCAACGGAAATTTAGTTATTGCTGTAACAGAATTTAATGCCAGCCCACCAGGTGAGCGTGAGTCACTCTGCAAACACCATCCCCGTGTGCCTGGGAGGCGCTTGATTTCTAGGAGAGGCAGGGCTGGGGTGGGAGGTGGAAATGCCAGTGCTCATCCCGTGTTCTCCTGGGATGGCCGGTGCCCTCTGCAGCAGGACAGGTCTCATCATGGACCCTGTGGTGACACTGAAGCCACAGCTTTGTCCCCTCTGTGCTGCAGGAGAGGAGCTGTGCCATCTTCTCCAAGACTTTGTGCTGCAGAGCGAAGGGTATGGGAAACCTGAAGCATCTGGATGGGAACTGGATGGGGGGATGTCAGCTCGTGGAAGGGATTTGTTCTGGGGGGACGTTGGTTAGGATGGAGATACGGCCCCACTGCCCTGAGCAGCTCCTTTTCCAGGGGGGATTAGGGGACAGGGAGCTGCTGAGGCTGTTATGGTGGCACTGAGCTTACAACACAAGCAGGAGGGGGGACAGAAATGTCCTTATTTAGCACAAAATAAGATGTCCATGACAAAATCCAATCAGGCTGCAAAGAATGGAAAGAAAAGAAATTACTGAGTTGCCAATGCCAATGCAATGAGCCTGGGCAATGAAAATGGGAATTAGGTATTCCTAATTCCTAATTTGAGCCACAGCCTCAAACCTAACAGAATTGCTGACAGCCAGAGGGATGTTCCTAGGGCAGCAATGCTGAAATCACGGGGGGTTGCCTGGTTGGGGATGGCCCTGGGAAGGGAGAAGTGGCTTTTTGCAGAGGAAAAGCCATTAACTGCACCAAAGCCACTGCCACCAAAGCCGAGAATGTGGTGGGTGGCATGGGGTGGTGACAGTGAGAGCCACTGCCTGTCTTGGGCTCATCCTGAAGCCCATGTGTGCGTGCAGGCAGCTGCCTCCAGACACTGCTGCTACCGTGCTGCCGTTTCACACAATGGCCAAAGGCAATTTCCCAATGCGGAAACCGGTGTCTTCCAAAATGGGGAGGATGCTGTAGCGGGCCTTATCTCAGCAGATAATAAGGATTTATCTTGGGCTAAAAATTAGTGGTTGCTCAGTTGCAAGCAGTCACAAGTCAGCTGTGTTTGTCATGTGCAAACAGGGTAAAGTCTACTGAGGCATGGGTGCTCTTGATTTGTTCGTGGGACAAAGCTTACCAAGCTGAAGGCAGCCACAAGGCAGAGCACCCCAGGGAAAGGATTTAAATGGGAAAATGAGAATAACCACCAGAAAGTGCTGAATGCTTTATTAGGTTCAAAAAAATGCCATGAGCCTATAGGTGAAAAAGGTTGACATCACAGTTTCCCCACACCCTCAGGGATGAGGAGGTTGGGATGAACCAAAAGGTCTTGGGGAGGCTTGTTAAATCACTTACCTGTCCCAGGTGATGGGCCTTGACCCTTCAAGAGTCCCTCAGCTCAGTATTGCATCAGCTTCCTAAGCAGCAGCCAGAGTGTTGGTGTCATCTGTGATTTACAAAAGCAAACGAAGTTCTGAAAATAGCAGCTACAGTTCAAGTTGCCGAGCACCTCTCTGGTGAAGACCTATTGGGAGAAGCTAATAAGCAGCATGGGCATCCCACGGTGGAGTTTTGCCCCCTTGGGCAGCACTGGTCCTCACCTGCACACAGATGAACGGCCGCAGCGTACAGGGAAGTGTAATGCTTTGTGGCAAGCAGCACTCGGGTTGCAAAGGGGTCTCATTTCAGAGCTGGCTAGCATCTGTGAGTGTAAAGCCTCTCTCTTATTTCTGCAAAAAATGAAACATTTGCCTTTTTTACAGGTGTGCACCATGCTCCGAGACACTCCAGCAATGCACAGCCTTTATTGGGTTTTTCCAAGGCACCCATCCTGGAGTATAAACTTATCCAAATAAACATAACTTTCTACTGAGCAAAATAATTCCTTGGACCCCTGATTAGACAAATATTCTCAGAATAGAAACAAGGCTACTTTATAGCCATAGACTAAACATAGCTCAACAGCTAGATATTGAAACTGCAGACACAAGAATTCCCCTGCCCTGGTGAAACAGCTGACTTGCTGTACAAGTCATTTACCCGTGCTCCGAAAGTTACTGAGGCTTATCAGGAGCACACCGAACTCTTCTATGGGTAGCCGAGATGCCCAGAAGCTGACCGGAGACCCACTGCGGGAACACCCAGTCTTTGGTTGTCTGCACAGCGGGGCTGGAAATTGGGGTTGGTCTGGGTTTGTTTGGGGACTTTTGCTTCCACTGGATTTGATAAGGGCCAG